AGACAATCTAGCATCATTGCCTTGTACTTAAGACTACTGTGAGATGGACTCCATGCTCAGCAGTGTTTTACCAATTTGCCTATAACGGTCACAGATTTCAACAGAAAAATTCAGTCTTTAAGGAAGGTGTTTCACTACTTACAACATAACCTGACTGCAGAGAGGATTAAAACGTATGCAGTTTTCCTTGGCCTACAACCAAATGACAAAGAACATTTTCTAGGAGACAAAGAACATTCTGCAAATCATAAGTCCTCACTGTTAGATGAATTCACTGAAAATGAACTTCCTGGTTCTCTGACTTGGGAAGATAGCTGTAATCTAATCTAAACTAAACTAAACTAAACTAAACTAAACTAAACTAAACTAAACTAAACTGGCTTTGCAAACCGCTATCAACCTGAGGAATTTCAAATTACTAAGATTGTATCCTGTTTGCTCATGAGTGTGAAGTATTCGAACGTAGAACATGTGGCATAGGGTAGCTTGGAATTAGATTCAGTTGTTCAGGCATGTCCTCAGTGTTTCAGAAACATACAAACAGTAGCAGCAGCTGATTTTAGGAAATCAATCTTATTTACAGATTTCATATGCTGTGGAAAGAATTAAATTCCAGTCAGTCAGCAGTTCCATAGAAACACGTGCCATTCTTTGTCTTTCTAATGTCTATCTACAGTGTTATAACTTAACCATATTGTTCTACTACCCAATGACAGTGAGCATTGTGATTAGGAATAGTAGCGGTTCACGTTGGTTTGTGAGATGGCCCTGAGTAGTGGTTAATGTTGACTGTCATCTTGGCAGGATCTACGATGGCCTAGAATATCTGCCTGGAGTCCATCAGAAAGTCCTAGGCTATTCTTGTATCTTAAATGTTTTTCAATCATGTTTCCTCCTAGCAACTTCAGAGTTTTTGCTCTTACATTAACGTTCTTGTTCCATTTTGACTTTTGTGCAGAGTGAGAGAAATCTAGCTTCCCTCTATAGTACCTGTGAGTATCCAGTTCCCTGGCACTATGTGTTGAAGAGGCTGCTCTTCTTCAACGTGGTTTTTTTTTTTTGATAGCTTGTCAAAGATTAGGCAGCTATTAGGTGTTGTTTGTTTGTGAGTACTCAATTCCATGTCAGCAATATATGTGTCAGTACCACAATGTATTTGTAATAGAGCTTCACAGTATAGCCAGAGGTCAGTTTTGTGCTGCTCCAGGATTGCTTTGGCCACTTGAATTCTTTTCTGCCTCATGTGAGTTGATATTTCTCTAAGTTCTACAAGAACATCACCAAAATTTTTATGGGGATTGTGTTAAATTTGTACATCACAGTCATTTTCACATATTAACTCTACTGATTCACAAGATGGGAATTACTTCCATCCTCTGGTGTCCTTTTTTCTTCAGCCTCTTAAAGTTTTGCTGTCTTGAAACTCTTGGGTAAGTCGTTCAGTAGTGAATGTATTTGGAGATGAATGCAGAACATGGATGCCCCAGGATGCTCCTGTTCTCTTAGCTGTCCATGTGTATGCACGGAGGAAAAGGGACAGATTCTGGTCATTGCAGTCACCAGATACTGAGTAGCTGAAGATACTGAGACCCTGAGTGGGCTTCATCTTATACTTTTCTGGAAATCTTGTAAATTTAAGATGATAATTTATGACCTACTTGATGGGAAACATATTTTAGAAGTGAGAAAAATTTTTGAAAAATTATGTAATGCTGGCCCATGATCCAAGAGTGGAATTGTATGAGGAGAACTCTTGAGTGTTTGGGATAAATCTTCAAGAAAACAAGACAAGAGTCTTGTGATCTCAGGTTCTTCAAAAACACAGAGTTGTTCTTGGATTATACTTCTGTGCCCCTCCCAGGCATAGTGGATAGGAGTGAGTTTGCTTCACGTTATTCATTACAACTAGCTATTGTTTTTGTTTGTGTGCCTCTATGGAATGTGTGGCTTTCCTTTTGACTGTACACTTCACTTATATGACTTCTCTTAACCCTCAGAGAACATATTGTCTGATGCCTTAAATAAAGTTGGCTATGAGACTTTAGCCCACCTTCTTATCAACTCAATTCTCCCAGGGTCCCACCGCCAATTAAAGCAGTGAACAGCCGGTGCCCAACAAGAACCTGAAGTCAGCTACGAAGAAAGAGAGTGGGGACCCTTAAAGATGAGAGGAGTGAGAGTAATGGGGCAGAAACCAGGAAAGACTTTTCCTTATGTTGAGCTTGTACATCATTTTTAAAGAAAGGAGAAACACAAATAATAAAACAACTATTACTAGGTAGCTTCCAAGTTGTACATGATTGTAATTCCTGGTTTCCAGAAAAGGGAACTTCAGATGAAGACCTATGGGACAGAATCAGAAAGAATATTGAAAAGGCATATAAACAAGGGGGAAAGATCTCTGTTTAATTTTGGGTCACTTGGGCATTAATTTGGACTGTTATCAAAATAAGGAAGAGGAAGGAGGATAGTCATGATGAGGAAGAGAATGAATATAAGCTGGAAGATCAAAACTTAAAATTGGTGAAATAGGGAAAAAGTGATTTTCTCTTTTCAGGCAAAATTGAAAGTAAAATTAGCACCCCTGATAACTATGCTGGTGACACTGTGTGAGCTCCATTATTGGGGAGCCTCCTTTAGGTATGTGTCCTCCATTGTCTGGAAATGACCCTGAAGCAGCAGTAGAGGGATTTGATAATCTAATCTTGAATTCTCTCTATTTTTCTTGTTGTTGTTGCGGACTTGTGAGAGCCTATAAAAAAACCTAACTTTGTGACCTAGGCAAGCTAGGATATAACAAGAAAAAGGAATTTGTTTCCCAATTTTTCCATGGCCGCATGAGCTGCACATGGTGGTATTTGCAATGCACTAATCTATTTTAAACCTTAGAAGGAAAGACAGCGTTAGACAGTCCTTACATATTATCTCAAGAGGCAAGAAAAAGAGCTGCAGCTATTTGAATGCAGACGACTCAAAGAAGTGTTTGTGTATTGTGTGGATCCTTCACTGTATTTAAACTTATTTACTTTACCCACAAAAGTGTCTCCTATAGGTATTACATCACAAGAAGAAGGCTCATTGAAGGGTACAGAAGGGATTCACGGTCCAGATATTCTCAAATCTATTAATATTTCTTTTTTCCTCATCGCAACAGCTGGAATGGATTATTTTGATTCATCTATTAAGGTCAATTCACCAACACTTAAATACAACATCTGGTTAAACCCATACACATCCCTTGTTTATTGCTCATATGCATGCATACTCTAACCTCCCTGGTTAATGCAAGCTAGTACATTAACCTGCTCCATTTTTACTTCCCAGGAGAAAACTGGGAAGGAGCATGCATCTGTAATTGCAAATGGATCCATGAAAACATTGTGGATTCCTCTTTGGCTTCTTCAGCCCTGGGTCATCAAGGACAAGGGCAGAGGGAGAGAAGACAGTAGACATCACCAGAAAGATAGCAATCCTCTAGCTAAGGGGCAAAAATGGATATTAATCATATCATCAAAAGTTAATTCTGCCCACCTGGGGCCTATTTATAGCCCTGTGCACCAGGGGAGAGGTTAGTCTATGGAGCACAGAGAGTCCTATGTCGCCGGAGAATCTTTTTCTGGTGGTGATGGCTACTATGACCTATGCATCTGTGGTGAGTGCCTATAAACATGTGCGTTGGTCTTCTGTTCCCCATCCTTCTTTACTTCAGCTTGTAGATGGAGACAGAGCCTGTTATCATTACTAATGGCTCTGTGCTTATGATGGACCTTGGGGCCATGATAGACTCACTCACTCATCTGAAGAAGAGTCTGAGTTTGATTTTTCTTTGGAATCTGAATCATTTCCCATTTTCATAGAGCATCATTACATTTGTGTTCATATAGGTTTATGTTTTACAAAGAATCAGAGCTACTAATTATATGGGCCTGTTTTCAAGCTATTCTCGAGATTTTTCTGATCAATATAATAATGTAGCAAAATAGTACTGGACATAGTTTGGATCCTTGCTCTTGATGGCAGAATGCTTTTACAATGGTTTCACTGTTCTAATATTACTCATTAAACTTATAATTTGCTTGCTTATAGGATAGTCATGCATCAAATGACAGTTAGATTGATGGACAACATCTCAAATCAAATCTCTGAATATCCTCCTAGTAAAAATAAAAAGGATGGAGATCTTAGAGCATGGTCCAAGAATGAAATCATATGAGAAGAATTCAGAGTGCTTATGAGAAAAAGCCAAGAAAACAAGACAAAAGTGTTGTTACCTCAGTTTCTAAAACAAAACAAAACAAAAAACAAAAACAAAACTCCCAAAAAACCACAGAATAGTTCTTGGAGTATGCTTTTGTACCCCTCCCAGATGTAGCAGATAGGAGTGAGTTTAGTTCAGATTATTCAATACAACTGACTATTGTTATTTGTTTATATGAATTTATGGAAAAACATGTTTTTGCCCTTGGTGGCTTGCCTGTCATGTGCAGTTTGCCCTTATGATCATATAATTTGCTCATGTGAGTCTTTTTAATCCTCAGAGTACAAATTGTCTGCTGCTCTGAAGAAAGTTGGCTGTTGCATGAGACTTTGATCTGTGCTATTTATTGGCTACATTATCCCAGGCCCCACCAACTAGAACAATAAACAGTGTAAAACCTGAAAGGGTCCAAGAGGAGTCAGTTATGAAGTGTCTGTAAACTGTGCTTCCGGGAATTATGTTGCATTATGAAAACACAAGAAGAGTTTCCTAAGATCACAATTTCTTTCTCCTTACTTGAAGCTAATATGTACGATTCTTTTGGTATGCTTAGCTTCAGAATTTTAATTTCAAAGAGACTCTGTGATGCCATGTAAGGCTACAAAATAATTTATAACTATCGAATTATAATAATTTTTACAGTAAATGTTCATGAAATTTCCTTAAAAGTAGGAAAAAACTTGCATATATAGGCCATTTTCACTAATTCTCTTGCAATTTGTAAATAATTTGGTATAATACGTAGTTTCAAGAAAAATTTATTGGACATCATAAAGCAGCTTTACAATAAAATTCAATGTTTTATGAGTTGAAAATTAATCAAAGGGCAAAAGTAGATCAGAAAGCTATTTTGGCAATATGATAGACTTAAAGGGACTTTAAAATTACTTGGTGAAATTTCAGCAGATGTTTCAGAAACTGGATCCATCCTGTCAGCCAAACAGCAACAACCATTTCTTCAATAAAGTACAGAAGTAATTTATTTAAAAATTATGCTGAGTTTGATTTCTTCATAAAGATTCTTTTATGAGTTGAGCCAATCTCTGGAAGGCCTAAAACAGAAAAGAGGTAAGAATTGATGTGTTAGGATGTTACTTTGAAAAACTCTATTGTAACTCTAGAGATTTAAGTAGAATGTCTACTCAAAGCTGGGATGAGGCAGCAAATGGTAAGTTTGACAACAGTTTTACCTTGGCAGAACGTCCTCCAGAGTCAGTGAGATAGAGAGTATACACACAGCTTATACATTTCCAGAGTTTGCTTTTATTAGAACTTTCGTGTATAATTTTCTATTTTGTCCACAATATAAATATTTGTGTTTTTATATATTCTTTCATCTTCAACCATAACTTATATAGTTTGGACTGCTTAAATCTGTTCATTTAAAAGCAAAATGTGCTTGTGGACACCATATTAGCAGCATGAGAAACAAGTATAGAAAAGATATCATAGGAACCTGTTGCCATGAAGGAAAGAGACAGTATTGCCCTAGAAGCTGTTGAGAAGCCCCTAGAACTTTTCGGTAAGTGCTACCCAGTCATTCACAAAGACAACAAACTTAAACTCCAGTTTAGTCTCATTTGCCCACAACTGCCAAGCAACAAAGCAAAAAGGAAATGTTTAAGCTCACGACTGGTGCAATAAAGTCTGGCTTTTAGAAGAGTAAGAAGAAATGAAATCATTCCTAACTTAGAAGGAGAACCCACACATCCAACATCAGAACCATTGGGCTGTGTGGCTGGGAGGAGACTCACTGTATCCATCTGTGCTGGAGAAGCCAGAGAGAAGGATGCTCTGAAGAAGGAGGTAGGGGCTGAAGAATCGATGTAGAAACCATTTCCAGGAACAAGTAAGACCTATGAGAGGTTGTCGGAAATAAGTGATTACACCACTGAAGAAAAACTAGAAGAAAATTTAGGAATATCTAGTATTACTGTAGGAGGAATATTTCAAGCTTAAAAGCTATTAATCAACTACGAAATCACAATAGAAAACAAAAATACCATATAAAATACATATAGCATGAGGTAGACAAACCCAACTACATAGAATTAGGAACAATATTTACCATCAATATGACAAATGCTATTTCTTCTCCACATATAAAGAATGCATAAAAATGAGAAGAAAATACCAAAATTTAAGCTTCAATGTTTGAAAGATAGGTTAGTGAGAGATAGTAAAATACAAATAAGTGACTAACCTAGCTACAAAAGTAATATGAATGCAAATGTTGAGATTTCTAATGACAATTAGATGCTGGCCTAATAAAACTAGGGGCCAGTATTTTAGGGAGAAGGCTTGAAATGTAAGGGCCCTGGGATAGGAAGAAAATGATACATTTAGAGAAACTGAAAGGACACAAATGTCTAATACATAAAGTAGAAGTTAGTGTGTTAAGATGGGGTGTTGAGAACAGCAAACTGCTTGTTTTATGACCATGATGGTAGGAACAGCCTCTCCATCGCCATCCCATCTTCCCTCCCTTCCCCCTTTCCCTCTCTCCATCCCTTCTTTCTTCCCTCATGTACACACTGGGGTTGAACCCAGGACATCAGGCATTCTAAGCACGTGTTCTGCCCTCCTGGCACTGCTAGCCCTTTTTGTAATTATATGGGCCACATTAGTAAATTTTAACCAGTGGGTATAAGCTCCTTCCACTTTGTAGCAATCTTAGAATAGTCATTAAGACTGGAGGTCAAAGATTGGAAGAACCCAGGGTTTTAATTTTTAGGCGAGTCAGAAATAAATTATACTACTTTATGTCTTAAGATTTAGGGTTTATATTTTATACGGCAATTGCCATGGATCCTCAGAAACATTAAGTAACTGGTTGTTGTTACAGTCTATAAATCTGGACACTCCTAGCTAAAACGAGATAAGTTTAGACTGGAATGATATGGGGTACTACTCTACATAGAAGATTTCAGGCAGAAGATGGGTTTCATTTTCCTGATTTATAACATGTGAAAGCTATCATTTCTCCCAATATAGTAGAAATGTTTTGAGATCAACTACAAGCAAGGACCTGTAAGAGAAGGAAGATGTTGTCAAAACATGGGCTAAGGCATTGGTGATGTAATGGAGGCCTATTTAGAAAAGGTTAAGAAACCCACACTAGGATCCAAAGCTACAACTAATCTATACACACATAGGTATATATATATATATATATATATATATATATATATATATATATATAATAGATGCAGAATTTGGGAAAAAGTGGACACTATATCTGTCTCCATCCTTTTCACGTGGTTCACAGATGTATTCACACAATTACCAAAAGTAATGATGTCATTGACAGAAAAAAAATCAAGCTGAAGAAAAGTTCAAGTTAGCCAATTATATTAAAATGAATTCTGAAGTAAGTTATATGTATGTATGGATTAAGTACCTATGGGGTGCAGAAACTAGGATAAGAAGAAGGAGCAAGACACGAGTCCTGCCGTCTCATGAAATGGTCAGAGGGCAGATAATTCTTGCCTGGGCAGTCTTTCTCTAGATCTAACCAAGCTGGGACTTGTTTCTAGTGTACCTGCATGGTATCTTGCCACTGTCAAACCAATATGTTCTTTTAGAGTTACTACCTAGTGATTCTCGAAACAAATCTCAGGTCTTACAGATACAACATGATAAGGGAATTAATGGGGAAAAGGAAGAGTTCATTCCCTAAACTGAAAAGCTACACAGAAAATTTCATTTAGAATTTTGAGTTTACTCTATGCCTGCAAGTGCCAAGGCTAAGTGTTAGCATTCCTTCAAAGTTCTGCCCAACAGCTACCTGGAAACAGCCAGGCAGGCCTGGCTTGCTATAAAAGGGGCTGTTTGGTGCGTCCTAGCTCTCTCTACCCCTTCTCTTTCTCTCTTCTCTCCGTGACCCCTTACTACACCCCCCTTCTCAATTCCCCTTCCCATGCCCTAAATAAACTATATTCTATATTATGCTGGTACCTCAGTGGGAAGGATGCCTCAGCATGGCCCTGCCGAGGTACCCTTCCCACCTCATCATACCAGGCTCTATCAAACACATCTTTGGCTCCTTTTTAGAAAATGTAACACTAAGAAAACTTATAATTTCAGCATGGAGGGGAGGGAAGGAGGGAAAGAGAGAAGCTAGAATATGTGTAAGCTCTTCTAGAAAACAGCACAAATGTTCACAAATCTGGGTAATAAAATGATGGGGGATTTCATTTTTGTTATTTTTTTTTTAAATAAAATACAGCATTTTAAAATCAAGTACTAAGGGCGAGTGCCTCCCAAGCATTTACTGTACACACATCAAAGGACCAGTGGTTAGGTTATATATGTCATTTAATCATCATAGAAACTTGATGGAGTGGGATTCTCATAGTTTGTGCATAAGTAAATGTTTGTGTGTGCTCACTGTTAGTATCCTGTTTAAGCTCCACCTCCACAGTTACCTGGCAATAGCCAGGTAGGCCTGCCCACTATAAAAGGGACTGCTTGCCCCCTCCTCTCTCTCTTGCTCTCTTACTCTCTTACTCTCTTGCCTCTAGCTTCTCTCTGTCCCCTCGCCCCACCCCACTTCCCTTCCCCCTCTCTCCATGTGGGTGGTCATGGCCGGCCTCCACCTCTCTCTCTCTCTCTCTCTCTCTCTCTCTCTCTCTCTCTCTCTCTCTCTCTGTCTCTTTCTCCCTCCTTCCCTCCCTCCCTCCCCCCCTCTGCCTCTACTACCTTCCTGACTCCCCTCCCCATGCCCTGAATAAACTGTATTCTATGCTATACCAGCATGTGACTGGTTTCTCAGGGAAAAGAGATGCCTAGGATGGGCCCGCTGAGGCAACCCCTTCCATCACTCACACTACACTGTGCATGTTGTAGTGGCTGGACAAGTCTGTGAGATCATTCTGCCCCTGCAACTTTTTGAGTTCCAAGACAGAACTTAGGTCACGCCAGGCTCAGAACAGCACACATTTTCCTACCAGGTTCTCTTACTGCCCAGGAAAGGGTTCTTGCTGTTGTCACTGATCAATAAATCACAGGGGTGGGTAAGAGACCCAGTGCTACATATGTGATAGAATGACTATGAAATCAAACTCAAGGAGGATGTCTGAACTGGAACACCAACCCAGTCACTGATGGGAATGACTGTATGTCCATCAATTTACCCCCCCTGGATTATAATTTTAATGAGGAGACAATATACCCAGCATATTCCTACAGTGCTAGTGGCTGGGCCACAAAAAATCTCTTCATTTTATTCAAAGAAATAGTATGGATTTTCCTTTGGCCATCTCTTATCCACTTCCCACTTTTACCTCTCTTTTAATAGCCTTTTCTTCAATCAGTTCTTTTGTATCGGAGATTCCCTTAACTTTAATCCATAGAAACATGCCAGCTTTGGGAACATGCCACTCTGCCAAACCTACAAAGAAAAGAAGATAGCACACTCTAGGCATGTCTTTGATCTCCAGTTCTACAACACAGGTGCAGTGATTATGAACAAGCACTTCTAAACAGTTTGCTTCAGTGGAAACATCTCAAAAATGCGATTGAAGAGATCCCCCCCCCCCAAACTGATGTTCTCAGTGGTGGGCGTTGAGATGAACCACAGGTATTATATTTTCTGGCTATAAAAAAGATGTTCCTGTGTTCTGAATTGTTAATTTGAGCCAGTGCCAGGCTAGCAAGACATGTAAATGCCATGGCCTTTAAAAGAAAAGCAAGGTCACCTTCAATAAGTGGTCCCGAAAGCAAACTGCTTAGTAAGTAAGGCTCTTTGCATAATAAAGAAATAGAAAATAAATAGTTCTCACAGGCAGAGATTCTGACAGAGAGAAGCAGATAGAGGACATAGGAATGCAGACCACTGACCACCTGTAACCCTCTAGCACTCACCAATGAAATTTTAGATTACCTAATCCTTCTAGAGAGTTCCCCCAGTTCCCTATAAGAAGGTCTGCATGCCTTTGTCTGGGGTCACCATTTTGAAGAATGGTTGAACACCACCCCTCAATCCCCACTCCCTCATGCTGGATGTTTCTGCAGCATAAATGCTCTTTGTTTTTGCATACTATCTGAGTCTAGGGTCTTCCTTTAGCAATTTTACCACCTTTAAAATACTATACTACTTGTTTAAATTTATTTTTAGTTATAAACAGACTATTTTGGGGGCAAAATTTTGAAACAACTGTTGTTAGCTTATAGGTGATTCCGCTAGGCCCCTCCCTTTCCACAAATAAACCTCCTTTATACCAGATTTGTTACTTGGTAGTATGATTTCTCAGGGAGCACCTTGGTGTGGGCCTGCCAGGTGCCCCCACCCCAAGCTGTATTATATTTCATAACACTAATAATTGCTGTAAGTTTTTAAAGATGGGTTTTATTCAGGTAATATAGCTGCAGGTAGTATTGCTAGTTAATTTTTCGACTGAATTTTTTCTTTATTAGAACCACAGAATCTGGGGTTGACACTAGTTGGTAGAGTGTTTGTAGATTGCTGTCTCTATGTGGCTGAGGGCAGGCACAAGATAAGGCTAGAGCCTGTGATTGGGCAGTGGAAAAAGAAGTCGGGCTGAGAGTTTTAGAGATGGGGACAGAGGGATCAAGAGGAGAGAACGACAGAAAATACGGATGAAGGGGACAAAGTCGATCCGAGTGGCTCTGAATAGCCACAGGTAGCAATGAATATCTTAAAAGGGATAGAATAATACAGGACAATTTGTCCAATCTAGGTGGGCAGCTTATATCAATTGGCTCTGAGTTCATTGTGTGTGGAGTTTGTGGGTTGAGAATTTACTGATATGAATCTGACTGATAAATTACAAGCCTCTGGAGTTTTGATATCACTGGATTTCGGGGATTTATGATAGCTAGTCATGGGGGTGGATGGATGGGAAGATAGAGAGCAGTTTGAAGGTAGGCGGACTGCAGGGAACAGGGAAGACTGCAGCTTGCAGCTTGCAGCTCCCATTACTAGAGCATGACTAGCATGATTGGTTTATTACAGGCAACAAGTTATTTGCTTTGAATTCCTGGGACCTAGGTTCCATTGCCAACACCTCTAAACTGGATGTAGTAGTATACAACTGCAATTACAGCTCTTGGCAAATGGGGGCAGGAGGATCAAAAGTTCAAGGCCAGCCTGGGCTACATGAGACCCTGTCTTTAAAAAAAAATCTTGTGGTAGATGGTGGAGATAATAGAACTGAAAGGTTGACAATGTAGGTCTTGTGAGACTATTCAGCAGGCAACCTTTCCTTGGCAAGAAAGTGCTGTCTCTTCACAGCAGGACTGACCACATGCTGTTTGTTGTCAGCTCTAGAGATGCCTTTGTTTATATTAACATCAGATGCCCCCCACTCACCACGTAACCACTTGTCTGCAGCTGCCAATATCAAATCTCTCTGCTTCTTGTAGAAATCAATAGTTCTAAAAGAAGACAATGACAAGGCTCATTCAATGAGTTCAGAACACTGATCACAGACACCAGAGAAGCTCTCTACTCTAGCCTGTGAGAACTTGTTTTCTGCTTCAACTGCTTTTTAAGGGAACACGGCACTGCTTTGAGTCAAAAAGCCTTTGCTGAAAAACTTAAAAGAAAAAACAAAAACAAAAAACCTTTCCCCCTTTACGATAGAGAAATCAAAGTGCAAAAATGAATGTAGCCAAATTTATTTCTACATAAAATATGGGATTTAGATCTAGCAGAAATAGTGTGACAGACCCTTGTGTTTAGTTGAGTTAAGGAATTTTCATTTTTAGGGTAGGAGAGCTCTTGAGATCAGTGGGACCTGTACTGAAATGCTGAGTCACTGGTCTGGGAAAGAGGCAACCCTATTACTGCTTGTTTATAAGTGGCCTGGGAAACACATCACATTTACATAACAAACATAATTCATGACTGGTCTCTTTACACCGACAGACAAAGTATGCTTTCAGTCATTCATCCTTGAAACAGTTCCAGTGCCCTGTGTCCTTAGCTGATTATCAAATAATATGTTTAATTGTGTGGGTAGTTTTTCAGCTGAAACAGTGAACTCTAACCTGGCGAACTTGGCTCACTGCAGTGTTGGGGTACAAGAGTTCAGGTCGCACTTGAATGATGCTGAGAAGAGCACCACTGATGCTGAGTAAAGCAAAATGCCCACTTCATTTGGGTGATTTTCAGACATTTAAGAAAGAATAAAGGGGATAAAGAGATGGCTCGGGGGCTAAGAACAATTGTTACTATTACAGAGGACCAGGGTTGGGTTCTTCGCATGTTCACAGCAGCTTATAATCGCCTCATAGCTAGTTCACAACAGTCTGTTAACTCTGTTCCAGGGAACCAATGTTTCCTTCTGGCCTCCATCAGCACCAGGCATGTGGTACACAGATATATATGTACAGGCAAACACCTATACACATACACACACACACACACACACACACACACAAAATCTTTTAAAAAGAAGGAAGAATAATACATCAGTATTCTGGATGGTTTGTATTTTGTACTCTGGGCTCCTATTTTACTCACAAAAACTTTTTAACGACTGACTCAATACCTGTCAACATGAGCCAGGAAACCTTCTTGTCCCCATTGGCATAGAAGCTGTGATATCATGAGCTGAAAGAGACAGAATAGTTATGGTACATTCTCAAAGCCGAGTCTGTAGTTTGTACACTATAAACACAGAAGCCATTTGCTCCTGCTCACATGTAAACACACAGAAAGATGCATCAAGGTGATAGCATTTTGTCTAAGCTCCGCCCCACAGTTACCTGGCAATAGCCAGGTATGGCTGACTATAACTTTACTCTCTCTTGCTCTTGCCTTCTTGTTCCTGCTGCTCTGCCCTTACTCCCTCTCTCCCCATTCCCTTCCTGTTTCTACCCACACGCTCATATGCTCATGGCTGACCTCTCCCTCTCCCTCTCCCTCTCTACCTCTCTCCCTCCCTCCCTCCCTCTCTCTCCTCTCCCTCTCCCCCTCCCCTCCCCTCTCCTCCCCCTCCCCTCTCCCTCTTTCCCTCTCTCCCTCT